ACTTACCTTTAACAATATGTCTATTGGATAGAAGTAATAGTCCTGATTTTGCACGTAGTGTTTGCTATATTTTTTTAGACTGACCATTAAATGTTAAACTGACAGAAAAAGAACTTCAATATACTGAATTGCTAAAAAAAGACAAGTTAGAAGTAAATAGTCAATTGTTCAGTTTATTTAATGCACTAAGAGATCTGTAATTTTTAGAACAATTCCTTATCTTCTCAATATCCAGTTCACAAGATCTTTTCAAATTTTATTTAATATATGACTTTGTTAAATATAGAATTTGGTCAATTATTGTTCATTAACAGCAACTAGAAGGAATGTTCAACAAATACGACATCAAAACTCACTCTAATATGGCTGACGAATTACAAGAAGCAAGATTACTTCTCTCTAGTCCAAGCAAACTAGAAGTAAAGTTGGTTCGTGAAGATTTAATCACTGTTCAAAAAGAGCTACAAAGTAACATGACCAAAAAGACCAAGAAAAAGCTTGGTGAAGCGGCCACTAAAGATATTTTGAAAGAGTTTTCAAAAAAGAAATAAGTTATTAAAAAGAATAATAATAAATGCGGTAAATGCGTATTGAAAAATTAAATCAGTATAAACGTCCCAAAGATCTATCCGGAGATTGCAAATTTTCCATTATAAAATCCTAATAATTTGATTTTATTATATATGTGAACCATGTTTGTAAATCATTTGGAGTGTAACACCCCAATCAAAAAAGTACGCCACAAAATATAAACTTCACATTACATCAGATCTTATGATTATATAAATAATAGATTTCTGAAATGTAAACAAACAGAACACTTTGTTCTTCCGGGTCTGGTTGTTCTCAGGCAACGTAACGGTGTTACGCCAGACCCACAGCCTTTTCCCCTTCTTTTGGCTTACTAAAAGAGGCTTTTTCCGCAGGTCGCGGTACCAAGTCGCCCGTCTTTTTTCTTATTGTTCTTGTGACGCACCAACAAGAGCAATACGGGAGGTGTTTTTGTCTTCTTGGGATTTTCTTTCTTCTCTTTTCACCTTCCGAACGGAGAGAACCTCGAACAAACAAAAAAAAAAACAATAATAATATTGCGATGACGGTATAGAGAAGAACTTGTCTGTGATGATTTTTTTATTTCTGAGACAGGAAAGTATGATGGTTTTGTCTTTTTGCCTTTTGGCATACTAAAAAAAGCTTTACTCGGCGTCAAGTTACATTAAAATTTAATTACAGATAAGTTGTTTTAATCGATTTCTAATTAATAAAAACTTGTTAATTTTTCTAGTTAATATTATTTTTTATTTTTTATTTTTAGAGCGAGATTAGACCAGTTAGCATCGCCGCATAAATTAGTTACGCGTCCAAATTTAAAATTAACTCCGATAGTAACTTCACGTTATGATATGACAGAAATAATTAAGAATACTTTTTTGATAGAATTGTTGTTGTACTGTATAATAATTGGAAGTAACTAGAGATACACTTTCGCACGAGATTACTACATCATTTTTTCGTTCATTTCACAAGATCAATTTAATGAAAATCATGTCAATCGTAGATTTTGTATTAGTAAATTTAATTTATTGCTGTATTAGAATTTTTATTAATACTGTAATATGCCAAAACTCTATTGTGTAAACATTTCGCGCAATTCGCATGCTTGGTAAAAATGAAAATCTTTTGAAAATAAAATATATCATGTATTTTATGTGTTCTAATAATAGTGATCCTGATTGATCTTAATTATTGACTTACATCTAGTCAAGGATAGTTTGTTGTCGTTGATGGCATCATCAGTCAGATATTTGACATCATAGGCGTAACGCCTTTAGCATTGATTCGATAATGTCACTTATTATAAATATTTATGTGATATAACATGATCCACAAAATAATTGAGTTTTTTTTTTTGCAACCCTATTGCACTAAATATTATCCTAATTGCCTTTCGCTCGTGAAGTACACCTTACTAAATACAACCTTTGATATTATAATTAAATGGTCTCTCGTTCCAATTGGCTCTCAATAACCTTTTTAACCAATTCAGAATCCGCTTTCTCTACATACACGCATCTTTTTTCTTTTTCCAATAACCCAACAAACTCAGTTGGCAAAATGTCTTGAAATTTAAATTCATTACATGATTTTAGTGATTCTTCAACGGCTGCTGAAAATTTTGCTGGGTGAGCTGTTGCAAGACAAATTTGATACGTATTCCTATAATAAGTTGAAAATAAGTAAAAAGTAGTAATATATTTGTTGATGTGATAGTGAAATAGAACTCACGAAGAAATTTTTTGTTTATCGGCTGCTGTTACTCCAACCGCTGTATGTGGATCCAAAACATATGAAATTTGGGTTCTGGAGTCTTGCGGCGCGTAATAACGACGAATCGTTTCCATTGTCTAATTAACCCAAAGTGTTAAAAAAAATTTATTAAAAAATGACATCTGCAAATATTACATTACCTCTTGGTCGGATATACAAGCACTCTTAAAATCTCTTAATACTGATTCCAATTGTGTTTTTTCTACGACTAAGCATTGTTTGGATTTAAAATCCTCCATCCACTTATTCACGATCGATCCCGCAAGTTTTATTTTTTCTTCGTTGGTATCAATGGAATCATACGCAATATACCATAATAATCTTTCAAAATTACTTGAAACAGTAATATCCATTGCTGGACTTAACGTTTCATGCACTACATGTTTTTTCCTTCCTTTTTCATCGCTTTCATCAATATTAATACTATCATCCGTTATTTTTTCATATCTGCCTGTTTTAAAAAATCTATCTAGAATATCATTTGAATTTGTGGCTGCCACTAATGTCTCAATTGGTAATCCCATACGTTTAGCATAATAACCTGCCAGAATGTTACCAAAATTACCTGTCGGAACACAATACTGAAGATGAATATTACTACTTTCAGGTGAATTTGGTAAAATATTTAACGATGAAAAAAGTTGAAAATAAGAATAAAAATAATACACGATTTGTGCTAAAATTCTTGCCCAATTAATGGAATTTATGGCACCTAAATGGTGTTTTTGATTAAAATGACTATCCGAAAATAATGTTTTGACAATATCCTAAGATCATATAATTAAACTTAAATTATGTGTATTATATATATTAATACAGTAGTTATATGTATGTATTATTTTACCTGACAATCATCAAAAGTTCCTTCAACTGCAAGATTATGGACATTTTTATCTAACACGGTGGTCATTTGAGCTTCTTGCACGGGAGATACTTTGCCTTGGGGATGTAGAATGAACACTGAAATGTCCTTTTTATTTCGTAATCCATAAATCGCTGCACTAAAACAAAAGTGATAATATTTTAAGATTTATAAATGGTATTATTATATTTTTTTATTAACCTGCTTCTTTTTTTTTACCTTCCAGTGTCACCACTAGTAGCTCCAAGAATTGTAATCTTTTCTTTTTTAGTTTTTTTTCCTTCTAAATTGTCCTCCAAGTTCTTTTTTTCTAACAAATACTCGAATAAATTTCCCAAAAATTGCAATGCAATATCTTTGAAAGCAAATGTAGGTCCATGAAATAATTCTAATATATAAAAATTTTCTCTGATTTTTTTTAATGGAGTAATATCAGGAGCTCTGAACGTTGAATAAGATTTATTAATTAATCTTTCCAAATCCTTACGAGGAATTTCACTGTCAGGTATATAAAGTGAAAATATTTCAAGAGCTAAAGAGGTGAATGAATGGTTTAACCAGGTAGCTTTCCAGTCACAAGGGAGAGTTGGGATCGTTTGTGGAATAAAAAGCCCACCATCTTTAGATAAACCTACTAAGACTGCTTCTGAGAATGTGAGAAGATCTTGCGAACCTCTTGTTGAAAAATATTTCATTTTTTTTTTTTTTTTGATTTACAGAAAATGAGAGATAAAATTTATTTAGATAACGATAACAGATAATCACTGATCGGCAACCTTTTTTTATCCTAAAGTAAAAACTATCCTTTTTTTTACACTTTGGTTATGTGTTATTTACGATTATGATAACATATCGATATTGACTATACTATCTTTATTCATTTATTTATCTTTTTTTTAGCAACTACGTATTATTGACTTATCCTTTTTGAAAACCTGCAAATATTCCGATAACTTGTTTTATCTATCACTAAATTGATAACGGAACGATATCATGAACAATGAAAACATAGAATTATTAGAAAAGGGTTTTGAATTGTCAGAAGATGGCGTTGAATCGTCAGAAGAAGACATTGAATTATCTGAAGAGGACGTTGAATTTTTTAAAATTTATGAAAAGACTCCTAGATCAAATAAAGCTTGGATATTTAAAGGACCAACAAAACTTCCCATTAAATTACCTGATGGTAAAATAAAACATCAAGAACCTGATGATAATTCCAATAATGAAACTGACGAAAATGAAGAAGATTCATCTTCAGATAGTGATAATAATAATTATGATGAGGATCTGCAAGATGACATGGAGGTTGATGAATTTAATTCCAGTCAGAATACATTAAGTGATAATGATGCCATTCAAAAGAAAGAAGAATTGGCTGCAATAGCTCAAATGATTGTTGAAGATCCAGAAAATAATGTAGATAAAAATTTTAATTTTTCTCATTTGAGTTTCCATATAATTATTAAAATAAATTTGCTTAATAATATTATAAGATCGGGCAACTTAAAGTTTTGAGAAAGATAGCAACGAATAATAATCTAAAAATCAAAAAGTTGGCAATATTGACTCAGCTTGTAGTATATAAAGATATAATTCCTGGGTGCGATTTCTACTTAAATATGTTTGTCTTTAATATCCTTCAATTTCATATTAACCATGAACTTAATAACTATAGATATCGAATACGACAATTGACCGATAAAGAAAAAGCTGCAAAGGTTGAACATTTGCTGTATATAAATTAGTGATTCAAGAATTTATGATTTTTTTTTTTATATTTTTTTTGATATAAAAACTTAAAGGTGTCCGAAGAAGTCAGAAAATTACGACATTTTGAACAAAGTCTTGTATCTAATTATCAAGCTTATTTGAAATCTCTGGAAGCTGAATTGAAAGGTATAAATCATCTATTGGCATTGTTCACATATACGGGATTTTATTGACATTTTTTGATTATTTGTCAAGAACATTACATCGCAGAGACAGCATTAAAATGTATATGTGACCTCTTAATATCAGTCATACATTTTAATTTTCGATCGAATTTGATGATGACTATTGTGAGCAGAATGAGTACTAAAAAATTCACTAAGGTTCATTTTTTAATATTTCCACATTTGTAAATATCAATATAGTATTCTTACCCTGGTATTATTTTAGATGTCTGCGATGTGTTGTAATACAATAATTGAAGTTTTTAAAAACGATGAGTCCGGCGAAGCAAGCTTAGATGCAATTAAATTAATAACTAAAATGATTAAATCCAAAGGATATGTTGTGCATGAAGAGGTATATTATTTATCTTATAAATATATAAAGTATATGTATTTTTTAACATTTCTATTGAATTTAAATTATCTTATATAGATTTTAAATACTTTTTTGCATCTTCGATTAAAAGAAGAACTAACTATGAAAACATTAAATGATAAAAATTCTGTTAATGATAAAACTAAAGGCAAAAAGAGGAAATTTGATAAACAAGAATCAAAAAAAAAATTGTCAAAAAAATTGAGGAAATTGGATAAAGAGAGAAGAGGGGTTGAGAAAGAAATGAAAGAGGCTGAGGCTGTTGTAAATAGAGAGGAAAGAGAAAAAAGAGTAAGCAATTGTCAAAATCTATAATAGATGAGTCTATGCTTCAAACGTGATCTTATTAATGTGTTTTTATATAATGGCAGCATACAGAGACATTGAAATTAGTCTTTATTACTTATTTTCGAATATTAAAACATGCCAACTCATCACCACTTTTGGTTTCTGCGTTAGAAGGATTAGCAAAGTAGTATTATATTTATATTTTAGCAAGTTATTATTATTTTTTTTTATATTCATTGTTTAAATACAACCTATATAATTTATAGATTTGCGCATCTTATCAATGTTGATTTTTTTAACGATTTACTGGAATTGCTCAAAAAGTTAATGTTGGGTCAACAAATTGAAGACAATTATGAGAATTCTTGTAAAAGAATAGATACAAGGAAAAGTTTATTATGCATAATAACTGCATTTCATTTACTTTCTGGCCAAGGTATATACATATATGCCTACTTTATAAAAATTTATATTTATCATTGTTCGTATTGTTTGTTTTTTTTCTTACAGTTTTTTTCATTGATAGGTGAAGCACTTAATATCGACCTAAAAGATTTTTATACACAATTGTATAAAATATTAATGCCACTTGCACTAAATCCATACATGGAACAAAATGAACATAAAAGAAGGCCAAAGACATTAATGAATAACAAAGATGAAATAAAATATAATAATAATATCAGTGTGTTAACAGAACAACAGTTATTGATGGAAGGATTTGATTACATGTTTTTTAAGAGAAGAACGGTGAGTTGTTGTCTGGAATTTTTTTTTATTTTAATTAATAACTAATTAAATTTATTATATTATATTTTTAGATTCCTATTGAAAGATCAGCAGCGTTTTTGAAACGGCTTTCAATTTCATGTATAAATTGGCCGAGTCAAACTGTATTAACGTGTTTAGAAAAAATTAAAAAAATGATTCAGGTGAGTCATCATTTAGGAGTATCTACGTTATTTATAGTGTCATTATCTTAGATTAATGTATTATAATATTAAAAGAATCAGTCGCGATTAGATGCACTGTTAATATCAGATGATAGAATCTGCAACGGAGTATATCGCGCAGACTTGGACGATCCTGAATTATGCAACCCATTGGCAACTAACTTGTGGGAGTTGAGTTTGTTAGAGGTAATATAAAACTATCGAATTTTTTCATTTTAAAAGCATTGTTAAATAATAAAGTTGAAATTTTATGCTTTTAAAATTCATTAGAACCACTATGATCCAAAAATACGTGCTATGGCAACATCATTAGCAACTTATATACCGGATAGTGAGAAATCTATGTAATTTTATAATACTGAAACATTTTTTATATAAGGTCAATTGGTCTTTACATGTGGCATTACTCTTAACAATTGAAGTGTAAATTACAGATAAACTTTATATAATTGAAATTTAGTGTACTTTCGATGTTGCATATAAAAGTATTACCGTAACCGTTTTCTAATAATGTAATCGTCAATTATTATGCGACAGGTCGAAAATTTGCGTGACAGATCTTTTTTATCCAAAATTAGAATTAAAAAATTATTAAATCCATTGTACAATCAATACCTTTTTAAAATAATGCTCATCAAGCGCATATTCAAAATTACTTCGTGCAGAAGTTTTTTTTTTTTTTTTTTTTAATTAATATATGAAATAAAATATAACGCATACTGCGTTAAATCCATATTTTAAGTAAAAAACTTTTATGGAATTAACTATATTTTACGGTCAGAAAATATGTCCTCTTAATCTTTGTGTAATGCTGTATTATACTTGTTAACAATCATTTCATGATGGACTCATGCTAGTTTGCGGAAGAGGATGTATATTAAGTATTAAATGATCATAGTATTTTTTAGTTCTTTAGCGTGCAGTATTAAAAATAATTTAATTGTATAAGATGGAAAATGCATCGTCCAAATATTTGTAATTGTTAAGAATTGTCATAATTAAAAGGTTCAGATATACAAATGATGTGAAAATTTCTAATTAGGCTTGGAGCATTGCTTGAATCGCAAGTTGGCGAAGATAACTTTTATTACTGTATTTAAGTTATTAGATGTAATAAAAATACACAATTTATTCCTGTTGTATTATTATCCGCAAAAGCTGATGATGAATCTAAAATAAAAGGTAATCTCAATCAACTCCCTCGATGTGATTACTGTAGATAGCTATAATGACAAATAATCATTATAGCAACGTTGCTGAAGATTCAAGGTGCGAAATGCGAATACAGTATTACTGGACTGTATTAAGAGCATTCTCAAGCAGCTCCTCTAAGGGTCCCCTAATTTCCCCCACCAA